CCTTCCAACATTTTTTCTTTTGCCGAAAGACGTGCTGGTACCAAATCTTACGTTTCTTACACAAATTTAGAAAATGCTCAAGATGTTCATATTTTACTCTAGAAGTATTGTGTACATACATATATTAATCAAACATTTGGCTAAGTAACCTAAGAACATTTCCAATTTAAATTATCTAAAAAAATATCCCAAGCTTCAGTTGTCATGGCAACAGTACCTTTTTATAAAAATCACCAATATTTTTGCCAGTTTCACAGGGGTCCAGTAGCGCATTTCAAGGTCATTGAGCATCCTGTATTAGTTGCAGTAGAAAACTGAAAGTAGGTATAGATATCACAAATATTAAAGGGAAAAACTTTTCTAGGATACAAATTTTCCTCCATACAAAAATTGGACTATTTTAGTATACATATATGTATACCAGTAGTGATATACAGCGTCAGTCCCATGTTTTGCAAAATTCCTCTTTGCAGTTGTAGTGAACTATGATCCCCTTCTTAACCCTTTCATCCACATTCCTTTTTCAATTTATTTTTTAGTCCAGAATGCTATCAAAGTATTTCGATTTGAAGGTGGGATTAAAAGTAGTTCCTTCTATTACCGACAGAGAGATGTCGCCTAGTACTCCTTACATAATAATGATAATAGATTGGCGCTTACACATATGTTAGTGTTTGGCTGAGCTTCTCCTCCGATTTGTGGCGTGCGTCTTGATGTTGTCACACAAATCGGAGGGACCTACAGTTTTACGCCGACTCCGAACGGCGAATGTATTTTTATGAGAAGCTGTTTCTCATGGCAGAATTAAACTCGGAGGTTTTCCATTGCCTGCCGAGGGACGACTGCTGTTAAGAAAAAACCTTTTTTCTATATTTTTGCGATGTTGCTTTGACCAGGGCTTGAACTTTACATACAACCATGAAATCTGCATAGGTATACCATAGTTATTAAGAGTGACAAGTTGCGAATCACCAGAGGAAAATAGTTCTCACATCGCCCTAATTGAATCGCTATTAACTCCACATGTGACACACACATATTAACCTCTTTTAACTTGACTCACTATGGCAGCAGAGCATCTACTCCATAAATAAGAGCCAAGTTGAATGAAGATAACGCTATTCCTTATTCGCAATGCTCACAAAAATGTCAAAGGTGAATGAATTTTTTATCATCTCACAATATTTTTCTTCATGAAAAGGATGTGATTACTCAGCCAATCTTTTCAGAAATGTCATTATTAAGTAAATCTTGCTGATAGGCCTGAAGATTCTTGGTGCAGTATATTCATCATCGAAAATCCTATGATTGAAAGCGACATCAACTAGCTGCCATGATTGGGGTACCCCAGTTCAAGAGACGAAGTGGAATTTGTTTTTTCAAGGTCATCAACAGAGCAGAAAGGCGTCGCCGATAGTTCAAAAGACGTAGACGTATCATACGATATAAAGTGCATTAAAAACTTTAGTTTGAAAATGTCAACAGAAAGTTTGCGAGATAGGGAATCTTTTAATACCAGATAAGAACCTGTAGGAACCGAAACCTACTGTTGACAGATGTCCAGAATACCCTTGAATTATTGATAGAACACTTATCCAGCAGAGAAAATGGTGGATACACTCAAACGATGATGGTGGATTTAGTATTCTTTTTCTAGTAATAATATTAAGGCAGAAGCCGGTGAAAACTCGTACCAAATGAAATTTCAGAAGAAAGGCGACTGTTTATGAGTATAATATCATTTCTTTAATCTGATTTCAGAGGAGACAATGCAAAATGCAGAATCAGGTACAAGTTGTTATCTTTTTCTTCTTTGTCTCTGTAACCGCCAAGCGATTTTGGCCGAGCTCAACAAAGCACGCCAGTCGCTCTCCTTCTGTGCCAACTGGCGACAATTGGAGATGCCAATTGAAGCCATGTGCTTTTCCACTTGATATTTCCATCGCAGTGGATGCATCCCTCTTCCTCTGCTACCACCAGCGGGTTCCGAGTTGAATACTTTAAGAGCTGGAGCGTCGGGTCCATTCGAACGAAATGACCAAGCGAGCGGAGCCGCCTTATTATATAAATACGTTGAATTATGTCCATATCGTTGTGTGTGTGTGCCGCCGCCAACGCATAAAGGCCCGTAAATTTTCGGCAAAAGCTTTCTCTCGAATATTCCATTGTTGTCATTTTGTCAATGCATTTGCGCCATACACCAGCACGGGCATGATGAGTGACTTATAGATACGGTGACCATATTAACCAACGTAAAATAAAGGATTTTTCCCAGACTGATTTGGGAATACGTACATACAACTAGTATGATAAAAGTACCTTGCCCATATCGTAATTTAAATTAAATATTTACAAGTTACAGTACAAATCCTTTTCAAGGACTTCGCCATCCTTTTCTACCCAAATGCGTTTACCATTATTCATACTGCATGACGAAACAAACACATGTGGTTCAAAATTGGAATTCAATGTTCATAATCCCCCACAGCCTTCATTTTTCCACCAATTTTTACTAAAAACAAAAAAAAAAATTTATGTTGGTGAAAATTTATTTGATGACATTTTTTAAAATTTTTGTTGTGTATTTTTTTGTTTTGGGGGAACCATACTATTGTTTTCAACAAGTTTTTGTTATGTAACATTTCGAGCCCTAACCGTCAAAATAACTTAAGCGACCTTTTTTTCAAAATTTTCTTTTTGATGCATTTTCTTCTAAATTGTTATTTTTTCTGCATTTTGCACTAAAAAATTTAATATAATCAATTAAACTTTTATAAAAAAAAAATAATTAAAATTAATCAAATTAAATGCAAAATGGAGTGTATGAATGCCAGTTTTGAACCACTGTGCAGAAGGGAGTTTATTGTTCTCTTTCAGTGGAACTGGAAGCTCAGCGTGCATCACGACACAACTTTTTCTATTCTTTATAGATTGTACAAAAATTATCGATTAAATAAAAAACCCTCAAGTGGGGTGCGAAACAAACTGGCGAAAGGTCTCATTATATTTATAAGGGTCATTTTTATTTTCCATATTCTGAGATTAAAAATTTACCTCTGAAACATGCAGAATTGGTTTAAAGGACAGTTTAAGATATAAAGGACAAAAGGCGTCCTTTATTTTGAAAAAAAAAAATTATAAAGGACAGGGGGTTAAAATAAAGGACTGTCCTTTAAAGTAAAGGACGGATGGTCACCGTACTTATAGAGTGTGGTTTTCGTACGTCGGGAGAGGGCTTTACTTCTAAGTGGCCCACTCAGTCCTGTTGGCAAGAGTGATTCAACGTTGGGTTTCAATGCTGTTATTATTATCGATGTTAATTATGGTTCCCAAGTTGCCATCTGTCCATGCTATAAGGCACTCTTTGCCCTACTGAATTTCTTAAGGTAGACCTATTGAATGAAGATTCTATATAAGTGGTCAAAGTCGAGTTATGGTCACGGTGGGATACTAACGGAGGTTTTAGGTTTTCCCGGGATGGCAGACTATGCCAAAGCTGAATCCTGCTTTCACTATAACTTTGATGACCCTCCTCCTTTCCTCACCGGAAGAGTGGAAACGAGACGCTCTACGAGTGGCGAGTACATCCATGTAAACACAGATGGCTCAAAACTCGAGGAAAGATGGGGGAGAACAGCATGGAGGCTTCTCTTTTAACTGTAATTTTCCCCTTTTCAGGCGCAACAGATGGCAATCAACAGGGCCACAAAACTCATTAAGCGTGCTATAATATCTTTAGGGGGTGGGGGTTGGAGAAATAACACAAACGGCAATAACGAAAAATTTGCTTTATTTCACTTTTAAACGGGAAATAATACTAAAATCTCAGTTTTAGCCACCAGTTCATAACTGCGAAGGGTAGGAAGGGGGACGCGGGCGCGAGCTCGACGTCGAAGCGGAGAGTTTAATGCGTCCATTTAACTTGTTCATGTACTAATTTTTGTCAAATGTAACTGGGTGACTACCCACATAAGTATGTGCACTATTTTGCTTTATTACTCAATTGTTAAGTTTAAAAGTTGGTCTTATTGCTCAACGAGAAATGAAATAAAACAAATTTGTGTTATTTCACATTCTATTGGGAAATAACACAAATTTGCGTTATTGCCGTTTGTATTATCATCAGGTAGACAATTTTTCGATAATTTGGATAGCTTTATATGTATGTAGGTGTGTAGTTATCTATGCAAAAATTAGCTGAAATAATGAAAGGTTAGATGTACTACAATCTATTGGGCCTCTACATTTATTTCAAATAAGTATTTTTCTCTTAAATTGTTTTCTAAATTGACTGTAGCTTTGTTTACCTATGAATATCAAACTAGAATTAATTTTTGTTTAGCGACGTATGTACGTATATTTCTACATCCCGGGCGATAAAACAAGCAAACAAAAGTTTATTTACAACAAAAGTTTTATTTTCACACTTTTGCGATAATTTTGTATTTGGTATTTCGTACTTTGTTTTTTTTTTGGTTTTTTTTTTGTTTCTTTTTAAAATGTATTTAAATATTTCATCAACATTGGCTAGCTGACAGTTAACAATGGCTATAGCCAAATAAGTATTTAATTATATTTGTAGCTTAAAAGTATATATGCATAGGTGTGTGCGCAAATATGTACAAGTCGTGTTCTATTCTTCTTTGCATTTAAATATGACTGCACGCGTATGTGCATTAGGGTGGTCCAAATATGCATGTGGAAAAGTAAAGTTGAAAATTTTATACTCTCACCCCATAGAATTGGTCTCTACCGAAAAAATATACCCCTCTATTTTTATTTTGAAATTAAAAAACATTTAGAGGTCGCTCAAAGCTCATACATATATTTTATATGAAAAAAAAACAACTTTTCGTAGAAATGGTATATAATTCTTGAAAATCAATATCTGCGATCAAAAGCTTTGGTTATCTTCAGGAGACTTCCAATAATAACACCCAATTGTTTATTTAAAATTTTTATATTTATAGTTTTTCGGTATAGAACAATCCGACTTTAAATTTTTTTTCGGACCACCCTAATGTGCCGCGTAGTAATGCGCGTCTTGTTGTAGAGGTAATAAATTTTACGATCAATTAGCGAACAGTATTCAATGACATTGTCAATTGCTTGTAATAGACTCTGGGTTGAATTGAGTAAAATAGCAAGCTGCCGCACGGCACACCATCAGCATCCTTCATCTCTGCTATGGTTTTCACATATGTATACCGGCTGCTCTGCATCACATGTGCCCATACTTATTTAAGTATGAATGTAAGCCTTTTTCTGATTTGCTTCATCCACACTCATCCTCCTCCGCACTCGTCAGTATTTTTGCTTGGGCGGATTAAATTTCATCCTCCATGTAGTTGCATTAATGGCTTTGGCAAGGCATCGAACGGTCAATTCGGTCGCTGCGTCAGTCTTTGGCGGTAAAAATCATAAACTTACTGATTTAATTAGTAGTTTTAATTTCATTTGCTAAAGTTTAGAGGTTTATCCAAGCATGCATGTTGGTTTAGTTGGTTTGCTTGTGTACTTGTTGGTGGAAATAGCATATCTTATGAAGTCAAGCGTTCTATTTGTATGGTGCAATGTTTGATATCGTACTTGGGGCCGCAGGCTATTTGTGTAGCTCGTTGCAATACAATATTGCTGTCCGAAAGAAAATCTGTAAATATATAAAATTAAATCTAATATTAACTATGAACATTTCTCTGAAATTCAATTAGAGAAAATGTAAAATTTAATTGCTGTCGTAATCGCCAATAAATTAGTAGATATTTTTTTGCTAAGAGGAAATACTTAAAAATGTTTTGAATGGCGATGATATTGGTGATAAACATATTAAAATATTTACACATTTGAAATGCAAAATACAAGCTATTGTGTATAACCGCCTTCGTCGTGTTATGAGAGAGAAAATTGTTTTAAAAATAATTAATTGTTGTTTCCTTGCTTTGGTAGGAATGCAAACGGTGTTAAAAGACTTATAGCATAGACAGACGTTGAAGTTAATTGCACGGCGGTATCGAATCCTGCGGCCAGCAACTTTTTTTAGTTTCTTCAACTATTACTTTTATTTATTTTTTAAATTTAATTGCCTTGTTGTGTAAAATTTAATGAAAGTAAGTTGTTTTGTATGAAATTAATTTAAAATATACATAATAAAGTTAATGTTTAATCAACTTGAAATATCTATGTGAAGAAAATTTAAATCAAATAAAATATAACAAAACAGAATAACATACAGAGATTAGGGTGGTCCTTAAAGACATCCATGGAAATTTAAACATGAAAAAAATTCGTGGACGTTGCCAGGGCTCGAAACTTTTTTTTTTTATCTTTAACTTTTTACTTTCACAATTATCACGTTTATGCGTAGTCAAATTCACGAAATCATTTCCGGGATCTGAGTAAAAACTCAGTGCATAAACTCCATTTCACGTATAATTGAAATCATGAAATGGTGTTCATGCACTCAGTTTCTACTCCAATGCATGAAATGATTTCATGAATTGGCATGCCAGCATGAATTACAACAAACACATAATTTTGACATAATGCAAGCCTTAAGCGTTGCTACTGTTGGTTCAGACCGATCCGCAATCAAGTTGGACGTTTTGCCCACAAATATTGCAAAATTGCGAGCAGTCTATTTTTTTACAATTTCACATGCAGTTTCGGCTTACATTTATAAAATTCAACGAAAGCACGTACATATTTCGGCTGAGTTATCCATTTTTTATTATTTAGTGAACAAAATAAACGTAAAATAGAATGAATTTGTACAACATGGTCATTGATTGTTGTACAACTTGCCAGAAAATAAAAATTTTTTGATCTTTCATACAACCGATACACAAATTCATTCAACAGGCCCACAAACAGTGCTATCTAGAGAAAAACATTACCAAGTTGGACCAACAGTGCCACGTTTATGGCTTTCTTTAAGAAACACCGGGGCGGAAATTCCAACTGCTCCTGTAACCCTACCTTATATGAGTTCGCCTTGCTATCATCCTCACACATGTCCATCAGAGTATATCAAGGAGTACTCGTATGCATGCGCGTTAAAGATGTTTGTGCTATCGCTTTGTATAGCCGTCATACGTCGCTTTCTTTCTTTTTTCCCCTTCTTTATACTATATCTTCCTTCTTACTCATGTAACATTTTCAGTTTTAAAAATTTCACTCTCCATTTTTGCGATACCTACGCCTAACTAGATTCACTTCACAAAAAAAAAAATATGGGTGGCTGCCAGATTTCGAAAAAATTAGTTATTTTTACATAAAAAAATTTTTACTTCGACCTCTTATAACTCAGAGAGTGTATGAATTTACATGTATAGGTTTTAATAATATGTCAAATTTATCATATTGAGAAAGAAACTACTAGAATGACATTTCGTTGCAAGCATACCTTTTGTTCTCGGTCTCTGTTAAAAAGTAAAATATTTAATTATTATTTTAATAAATTTTTAGAAAAGTGTTTTATTTTATTTTATTTAACACATTTTAATTCTTAGTTTAAATTTCTTTCTTTTTTACATTCTATTGTTTTAAAATGAAAAATCCTTTATTTAATTTCATAATTTTTTTACAAACATAAATGCTTTATTTTTTAATTAAATTTAATTTTATTTTAACTATTAGATTTTGTTTTAAACAAAAACATTTTTTTTGTAATTTTATTAACATAATTTTTGTAATTTATTTCCTTTTTTATTTAATGTTTTTCTATTTTAATTTAATTTTCTGACTTCATTGTTTTAAAAGGAAGTTTTTGTTAAGTTTACTTTTATTTTATTTTATAGGTTGTTTTTCGAAAAAGATTTTTTTTGTTTGTTATTTTTGGTATATATTTTTGCTGTTTTAAATTTTTTCCTTTATTTTGAATAAATTCTCTTTAGTTTTTAGTCCTTGCTGTCTAAATATATATATATATATATATATATAAACTTTTTTGTAATTTCGTTTAAATTTAAAAAACCTTATTGCTAAAAGACAAACTGAATAACGGTACGACTTTCTCGTGAGCACATCGTTTAATTAGTCTTCCGAAAGTAAATAAAGAGCTTTCAAGATAGCTGCCAGAATTGACAATTGTCTTACGAAAGGCTTTTGTCTTTCGAAAGACTGTGGTGAGTTGAAGGACATGTATTAGAAAATACATTGCAATCTTCTTTTTTTATGAATTTTAATTTCTTTCGCTGTAAGGGACTACACGCATATGTATGTATCTTGTAAAGCAAATATCGAGCCCTAACCGCCAAAATAACGTAAGCGACACTTTTTTCAAAATTTTCTTTTTGATGCAGAAATATTCCTAGAGCATCTAGATGCATTTCTGCATCAAAAAGAAAATTTTGAAAAAAATGTCGCTTACGTTATTTTGGCGGTTAGGGCTCGATATATTCTTGGATCTATTGAGGCAAAACAAATCAACACATAATTATTTGCCTGGGAGAAATGAACCCGCATGATGAATTTCAAATTTAATCATTTTAATAATTTTGTAACCAAGTCGATAAGCTTAACCACAAAAATTCGATAACGTATGCACACATACTATGTACGTATGTACCTACATATACACATATCTGAATGAATTTAATAATTAGTTACATACCAATGACCAAGTGCGCCATCATGACACTGTGGTTGTTTGTGTGACTCCACACATTTAGATGATGTACATTTCTGTGGAAATAGAAACGTTAAATAATCTAGATGTACATACTACATACATACATGGTATTATGTAATAATAGAGTGGTCCCTAAAATATAAATATCACGAAAATTAAAAAAAAAAAATTTAAAAGTCGCTACCGGGGTTTTAAAAAAATTTATTTATTTTATTTAACGCAAAAATTGGACAAAACGCTGACTTTGGCCAGCGTGGTAATGAATTTAAGTCAAGTCACAAATTGGTTGATTTAATAAAAAAAAATATTCTATTTGCAAAATTTGTTACCTTGTTAAATATGTATGTGTTTAAAATTTTGAAATCTTCTTAGATATCTTTGTTTTGTACGTGCCCATACAAAATAAAAATATTGATACATATATTAAGAACCACCCTAATATGGATACATGTACTTATATTGATCGCAAATTTAGAAGTAAAGAGCTAATTAAAGTCAAAAATGCACTCACTTAACACCATCAATACTGATTAAATCCATCTCGAGTTTATTTAATGATATCGACGAGGGCACAGCATCCAACAAAATTCCAACCGATTCGCGGAATAAACGCACAGTGGTCATGAATACGATTACGGAGAACAAAACTGTACAAAGAGGATCGGCAAACTTAGCGTTTGGCTGTGGGGAAACAAAGATAATGAGGGCATTAAATCAACATGGAAAGTCCAGATTTTATTTTTTTCAATTTTAAATCATATAAAAGTATTTTTAGGTACTCACATAAATTTGTATTAATATCGATGCGAGAAAAACGCCAACACTTTGCACCAAATCGCCAATGACGTGAATCATAGCAGCGCGCAGATTAAGATTTTCTGCGGTATCACTGTGGGTGCGAAAATGTGCGAAATGAAAAAATTTGTAAAATAAAAAAATTAAAAATACAAAGGGGTGAAAATATGCAAACAAAAAATAATTAATGGTAAATAGGCGCGCTTAAATGTATATGAAAACGGAAAAAACTATAAAAATCGTGTACAAAAATAATTGAAACAATAATTAAAAGAGGAAAAATCCCATACGAATCAAGTTGGTAAATCGCTAGAGGCAAATTGAAATGTGTTGCTTATTGACATAAAGCGTAGCACATCGGAATGTCAAGTGAAAAAAAATGAATTGAGTTTTTACGAAAAATGACAAATGAAAATTATCATTTATGCATGTGCAACAATAACAAAAAAAAAAAACGACAAAAAAAAACGGAGGAAAACAAAAACAAAAAAAAAAAAAAAAACAAAATCCATCAATGCAACAACAGAGAAAAAGTGTAGCGCATTGAAAATGCATAAAAAGTGCTGGCGAAATCAATTTTAAGCACTTTTGCAAACGAAAATATGCACAAGTCAATATGAATTATGCACGCGAATCCGCATGAATTAACTTCATTTACATGAACGCGCACGCACACAAATGCGTGGAAGTATTCATTTGAATTTACCAGAAAGAAGGAAAAAAGAAATGTAATATTCAATGGTAAAGAATTAACATGACAATACATACATACCCTGGAAAAAATGCGACTAATCCAGGATGACACCGGGATCAATGGAACTTGTTACAAATACCAATTCTGAGCTTTTTATTCGGCATGAATTGTTGCTTTTTGTTCGAGCATGAAGGGACTAATTCTTCCCCTTTATAGCCAAAAGGGCACAAACCCTAGGCAGTCGCTTTTAAAATATAAAAATAAAAATTTGCGCCAGCTCAGATTTGAACTGAAGATCTCAGGATTGCTAAGTGAATAGTCAAGCCAACGCCGCATATGAAATTTCCGTGACAAAGTGCGTATATCATTAAATCTTTAATTGTAACGCTTAGAGATGATTTGTGACCTAATTGCACCGATAAGTGAAGAATCCCCATAAAAAACTTGTTGTGACTAATTGGTGCCCAATTGTACCCCATGTCATCGAGCCTAAATCCGGAATACTCTTTTTAGACATCAGTTCGAAAATTTTTTTGCGGGGTATGCCCTTCATATGCATGTAAGATAACACATCTACATATACATAAGTACATATATAGATAAATAGTTTACGAAATTCTTAAAATTTTGTAAATCCGTAAAAACTCTAGTGCCTACAAACATACAAAAGTAAAGGCAATGTTTAAGTACGACAAAAATTTAACATGTATATGTCCGTCAAGTTTTTAAGCCTTTCGGAAACGCACTCGAATGCACTAAAGCTGCTGAAAAGACCTCATGGAGCCTTCAGGAACAACTGAAGCCTGCTTGCCTACCATTAAACACAGCCTAAACTATCCGCATGATGACAAAAATAAAATGACTCTGGCTGCGTCAGCACCTGGAGCAGGTGAACACTCCCTACGCGATCTTCAAAATGTGCCTTCACATCTGCAGCCCTTTTAAATTGGGCTATGTTGAGATCCGACGCGTCCCCAATGGGACCAACCAATACCAGCTGGATTGTAAGTACCCTGACACTCAGAACCCATACCTGCACTATAGGACAGGTAAGAGTCAGATTCTCAGATACGAAAGGATGTCTACAGGCTTGAGTAATCTTATATGGTCTATCGTAGTTGACCAACTACTCTGAACAAAGACTGCAAATGGTGTAGTAAAAAATGGGTTAAACATGGGCACTCAAAATACTATAATATTTAGTTGCTATTTTTCCAGAAAATGAGAATGAACAAGTTGCTAGAGCCATTTCTTCAAAGGGAGAAAAACTACGCTTCTCTAAAATCTCAAATATCCTTGATGATGAGCTCTCAGGGAACACTTCACATATAAACTATTAAAAGGGTTAGGCTATCCATTCAGATCTGCTGGATACTAGTGGGCTACGAACTGGATTATCAGACTATATGCAAAAGAAGGGAGAGGCTCTTTAACTACCACAAACAAGAGGACGCAGATCCAAACTACAGAAACTAAGAGAAAGAAAATAAATAATTTTTATCTACCTGCGGATCTATGTCACAACAACCAAGACTAAAAAACAACGAGCACTAAAAAGACTATGAATATTGACGGACAATTTTTTCAGCACGAAAGATAACGCTAAAAAGAGCACAACGTCGAAACCCCTTTGTCTCCAAACCGCATTGGACTAGAGATGACTGAATATCGTTCCACAATACATCATAAGCTACCATATCGGAAAGACCAACAACCGAAATGATTACGAAAATCAAGGATTTTTTAAATTTAATAATGCCTTCCACAAACTTGTGTGGCATGAATGAAAATAAGGATCATAATGAAAATAACGAGATACTGCTACATGTCGACGAACTTTAACGGGCTAAGGAATTGACATTTTTCGCAGACCGATTTTTATAGAATAATTTTGTTCCGTTGATGATGTACAAGTGAAAAGTTTCAATACAATTGCGCATAGCTATTTCTTTAAACGCATTTTAAGTAAGAATACTATAGCGAGCCTAGTCAATTAATGGCTAGTTGTTTATTTTTATTATTATTTCAATTTTTGACTCACCATTTTTTTGCGTATTTCAATTCGTAGGAACCATTCATTTGCAACAAAGCACCGTCGTTCGCCACTGCATGACTATGTGGATGCGAGTGTGCATGTGCATGACTATGGCCGTGAGCAGCGCCGTGTGCCAACGTGGAGCCATGTAGAACAAAAACCATGCTGAAATAAAAACAAAAACAAAAATTCTGCATATAAAAAGTGTACTTTTGTAGGAGACAAAAAGAATTTTGTATTGGTATAAAACATACCGCGGCAATAATTTATAAATACGAGAATTGAATAAATAAACAGTATTTATAGCGAGTCGGCGATAAGGATTTAATAAAATGCGCTGCTATATTTGAGTTAATTATGCAAAGTTTTAGCATGCGCAACGTGGTTATTGTTAAATGTTTTTTGTTTTTATTGCTTTTCTGGCGTCCGCCTTGTATTAGGTATTGATATGCCATTACTTACGTACATATTTATATATATTTTCTTGAACTTGTGTTTATCTACATATTCAATTGTGCATATTTATGTTTATTTGTACTTACACGATATTAATTAAAATTCCAATGCCCGATATAACCATCATTGTGTTGGCATTCAAATCAAAGTCATTGGAGTATAATCGTTCCATGGCCACAATAATTAGTGTTGCGGTTAGTATCCAAATACCTAATATTGATGCTAGAGCACCCATCACCTCTAGGAAGTAAAAATTCATATATTAATATGTAAACAGGTACGCTATAATAATAGAGCTTATTTATTACAGGAAAAAATAAAACGAAATGGGATTTAGAATGTAGATTTTTTACTCAGCCAGTAGTGGGATATACTACTCGAATAGCGGTACTGAAATGCTAAGTGCATTAAAAGTTTGGTGCAGCGGGCCCAACCCTGTACCATAGCAAACAACGTCCCGGAGATCTAACAAAAGCTCACAAGAGGGATTTTACAGTAGTAGGACATACTAAGCTGGCAATCGCACTCTCTATTTTTTCGGTTAGACCACCTCGAGGCTACTTTTCTTGGTCAGCTGATGCGCCACTCAGTTACCTGAGATATCATGGCGCCCTGGAACCCATCTGAGTCTTACAATTAAGTATTCATATGCGACTCAACGAGAGATGAGACATTGGGCCTTATGCATAAAGAGTGAGCTGAAGCTCAGACTCAATTTTTGCACTGATCAAGTGAGTTAAAGCTCAATAATTTGTACTGAAAATCGAGTCGGAGCTTAAGCTCACTTTTTATGCATAAGGCCCATTGTCTAACTAGTTTTGAGCGTACTATGAGTAAACCCAATACGCTTTTAAGCGCTTGGCTATTAGCTTTCTCCAAATGAGTTACAAGTTTAGATTCTAAACAACGACAACTTGTTACTAATATCTGACTGGATGCACCCGCGAGAGCCTTGACTTGTAATGCCGGAAAATATCTATGGCTAGCGATCTAAGCGGTAAATCGCGATCCTGACAGAGGAGATCTCTAGGGCGTACATCAGCATACGTTTTTTTTTAATTAGCATCAAATTATGCTAACACCTTTAGTTACCATTAATGTAACGAAGAGTCATTGCAAATCCAGATTTTAAACATTAACACCCAAATTCACAAAAAATAAAGAAGACTTTAAATGCTCTATAAAACAAAAATTTATATGAAAGTTTCACTTTATAAAGCTTTTTAATATTAACTTCAGGCAGAAATTAACTGATTCAATTAACCTTTTAATTGAGCTACCGCTTTTTGGTGTTCAGTGACGCAAAAGTTGGTACAATCGTGCCTCTATTTAGTAAGAAACTATATATGTACCCTTTATGGATTTAGAACGCAGTCAAATGACTTTTCAGAAAATCAGTTTTTATTTTTATTCACTTCTCCAATAGCCTCCATATGATACCAAAGGTAGGTCAAAGTAACATAATTGCAGTTGATTACGCCAGATAGACAGCGAATATTTCTTAAAAAAAAAAAACACGAAATTGTATTGTCCCGAACTGTCCGAAGAGATTCTTTGCATAGCCAAATTTTTTTAATGCGAGTGCAGAAGATGATATGGTATCAATATGAAAGGTTATCCTCTTATTTTCTTTAAAATGTACACATATATAGATACATATCGCACCCTAAATCAGAAAAAGCCACAACTAAAAAAATCCAAAATGTTCACGAGAAGCAAACCACTGTTGATGAGGCGCAAGTGAATCAAGCAAAAAAAAAAAAGTTTTAATGGTATGTTTCCAGTTAAAGAAGATGGTGATGAAGAAAAAATTTGGCAGACATGTGGTCTGTGAACAATTTTATAGAAAAAAGTAATATTGGACAATTTTGAGCTCTGACGGTTTTTAGGGTGCGACATATCTACTTTTAAGTAAAGTTTTTCCGTAAATTAGGTACAATCTGAAATTTAAATGTTCCATCCCTTATGGAATATTAGCTGTAAAACAGCTGATTGCTATTTGTTCAATAAACAAAATTAAATTTATTCTGCAGGGTTGCATGAAAAATTCATTCAATTAGCACTCAGTTAAGCACTACTCGAGCAATTAAGAATTGAAATTTCGTATGGTAATTCGAGTTCGATTAGCGCCGTAATCGAGTCGAGAAAACTTTGTTAATTGTTCGATTAGCTGCTTAGCGCCCTGTCTGAACATATTTTAAATCTTCCTTATTTTTTATGAATAAGGCCATTAAAATGCTATACATTTCTAATGGCTATCAAGTATTTTAAATTTCCACAAATTAATGCCCAGTACAAATGACCAACAATTTGCGTCCAGTTTTAAGTTATCAAAATCAATAAAACAAATTACTAGATAATTACGCTTAGTTGTAACCATAAATTTACGCGCAGTTAAAAGTTACCATTTTTGAGTTACCAAAAGTGATCTAAAGGTTATGGCCAGATTAATGCATATTTTTTAAATAAAAAAAAATAAAATTATGTCCAATTTTTAAACGACGAAACATTTCCACTACCAAAAATGTGTGACCAATTTTAAACTGATCAGCTTTTAAGCCAAAAAAAATTTTGTTAAGGTTTTAGTCACCAAATTATTATGTTAGATTTTTGCATTAAAACCCAACTACATATGTATGTACATATGTTTATTGTATAATGAATAAAAACTTTTTCATTGCCATTTTTGAATTACCAAAAGTGATACGAAGATTATAGCTAGAGTAATATATATTTTTTTATTAGGAAAAGAAAACATATGTCCTGTTTTTAAATGATGAAAAATGTCCATTTCTGAAATTACCACAAAAAATATATCCAGCTTCTAAGTTACCAAAAATGCATGTAAATTTTGAAAGGATCATAAAATTATGTACAGTTTTAAAGTTGCCAAAAAGTTATGACCAGTTTTAAGACGAATCAATAAATATGCCCAGTTTTTAAGCCACCAAAATTTATTACCAGGTTTTGAATCACAAAATTGTTATGTTCAATTTTTGCATTAAAAACCAACTATATATATATGTATGTATGAACATATGTTCATTGTGTAATGATTAAAAATATTTCATGGTATTAAAATTACCAGATAATATGCAAAGTTTTTAAGTAAACATATAAGTATATAAGTTTTATTTTGGAGCGCTTAAATGTTATACGTTTTAAAATAAACAGCTCGCTTGGTTAGTAAAAAGCACCTTTGAATTACCCAAAAAAAATCTGGTTTCCTTCCACACCGATTACTTACCCATACGTTTATAGCCAAAGGACATGCGACCATCAGGCGGTCGTCCGCCCAGCCAAATTGCCACCAATCCAATCACAAAACTAATGCAATCGGACGCCAAGTGGGCTGCATCTGTCATGATAGCCAAACTTCCGGCCATATAACCGCCAAGGAATTCAACAATCTGCACAAATACAATAGATAGTAATTGAAATAGAAATTTATCGCCTGTAGAAGTTAAGCGAGCGGGTTTGCTGTAGCGTAAACGTGTTGAACGGCGCTACACTGGGGAAACTACATACATACATATTAACAACATACATAGCTGATGTACGCGCGTGGCTACCTTCACACACGTTCGCGGTCTGTGATTAATTAAGTGCAAAATGGAAGAGACTGGTCGACCGAATGGCAGCGGGCGTGCATGGCGTATGAGTGACATGGCAAACACGCACCAACGTAGGTTACGCATACGCCATGCACGACGCATGCCGCCTGCATACAATTGCCAATAACAATTTAAGTCCGTATGTATGTATTTACATATGTATATGAGTGAGCGACACGTGCCGCCGAAACGCAACACTCGCACGGTTCGTTCGCTTTGTTACGCGGTTTTATTTCATTTGTATAAAAAAAAAAAAACAATTTCTGCCATTGATTTACTCACCATGAAAACACAACATAGCGCAATTGCTAATAAAATTTTTAATTTTGCATCTTGTGTGGATTTTGTACGCAGATTTGCACTAAATCCGGGCAATTGGCAATGGCAAGCGGAGGCGGCGTCGTCAGCAGCCATGGCAGTGGCACCGGAAGCTGCGCTAAATTGATAATTGCCATGGTCATGGTAATCACTCTGTGGGTGTGAGAATAACAAATACGAATGGGGGGTGAGATGTGGTTATTAAAACACAAAAAAAAATTAAATAAATTCAATGTTTACATTTATAAATAAACTAGACACGGTTTGAAATGCTTGTGCGAATTTGCGCGAATGAATGGCTGTGCGATAAATAAATAAATAAATAAATAATATTTGCATATTTTCGGTCGGCTTTTGCAATAAATGCATTTTTGCTTGTTTATGTATGCATATTTGTGTGCATGTGTGAAATGTTTAAATTTTGTGCGCTAAATTGTTTATACATACATACATATGTATGTATGTATATGCTACTCTATTATTAATGCGCGCAATTTTTGATTTGCTACCGAAATATTTGCTTTTGTTCGTCGGAATTTCCAATGCAACTCCAATTTATGTATTTCGAAAGAATTTAGCAGATATTCGCAAATTGTTGTTCTAATATTTTTTGCATGTATGCACATGTGTCTAAATGCTATTGTTTTTTTTGTTTGTTTGTTTTCTAACGCGGAATTTGTTGCGCATAATTCATGCGAGGCACTCACACACACACACACAGACCTCCTCCCACATGTGCAATGGAGTGCATTGCTTTGAAAAGTAAAGGCCACCAAATTCATGTTTGACCGAGTCACACAAAAAGCGCTTGCGGCAAGCAATTTCAATTTAGGCAATGGGATTTGGTAAATGAATAAATGTGAAAAACGCGCGAATGCCGCGGCTAAAATGCTTCAGAAAATTCGCTAAAAAAAATTAACTTGCACCATTAGCTTTGGTAAATATACGTATGTATGTATGTATGTATGTATATGCGCGTTGGTATTTCTCGTGCAATGTTTATTATTCATAAAACGAGTAAATATTTAAATATGAACTTTTGCAGCGTTTGCATATGTATATGTAAGCGTGTGTGTGTACGTGTGTGTTTCGTTGTTTGAATATAAACTGTTTGTAGCTTTCTGATTTATTGAAATATCATATCATAGCTTTTCCTAAAACTGCTTTTCCTATTTTTGTTTTGTTTAAGCTTCATTGGCATATTTATTTACTCGCATTGTTTTTATTTGACCCTTAATCTTCTATAATTGTTTTTGAATTTTTGATGGATTGTCGAAAAAGCGAAGCATTAGAGAAACGATGATTGCTGTTAATAAAAAAAATTACTGAAACTTTGTTAAGCAATTGCTTTCAGGGATGGCTTTTAAATTAATAATAATTTTAATATTGTAAAATTTTAAAAAATTGTATACTGTAATTTTTTCCCCAGCTGATAATTTACTACAATACTACACCACCACGGCCACTAATTACAGAGTTTTGAGAGAAAAATCACGTAACTTCCGAAAACTGAAAATTTTGCTGGCGTGAGTTAGTTTTCCGTCAATCACGTAATTTTCACATATCGAGCCCTAACCGCCAAACAGATGCAAGCGAAATTTTTTTTTCAAAATTTTCTTTTTGATGCAGATATGTTCCTAGAGCATCTAAATGCATTTCTGCATCAAAATTCAAATTTTGAAAAAAATGTCACTTGCATCTTTTTGGCGGTTAGGGCTTGATATGTATGTACATTTGTACATATGTATGTGTATTTTCAATCAAAATAAAATCGTAAACTACTAGTGTTTAACTTTTTTGCTGTATTAACCTTTGACGAATTCAAATGTGCAATAGTAGGCGAGCCCATTCGATTTGGGGTCCTATTAGATTTTGAAGATTGGATGATAACATAAAGAAAAAAAGGTCACGTATATCCTTTCAGCGGTGGGTGGAGGATCCAAAGGCTTCAAAAAATTTAAGAAAAACCCGTCACATGGATTTACTCGAGTGCGTCGGATATTGATGCTCAATAAATCAAACGTGCGGGTGGCGTGGTGGGTACATGGAAGGTTTAAAAATGGGTGAAAAAATATTTACTCCAGCGCGTTGTGGAACTTTTTTATTTTTACACAGTTAGAAATTTGTATTCACATGGCTTTTGTTAGACATATTTTGTCTCGGGGTATACAACAGGTACACATAGTAGAGGCACTTATTTAGCTCAGTTTTAGATAAAGTATTTGATTCGAAAGTGCAGTTTTATGCGACTGGCAAGAGTAACGAAAACTAGCTTCTGTATTGAAATTTTGACAAATTAAGTAAATGTTACGACGCTTTTTTTTGCATGTAAAGTATATTTAGCGTCCAAACGTTTGAAAAAAGCACAATTTGTAATTTAACTTTACATTGTTCCTAATATATTTTTACGTAGTTTTTGTTGTAAGGCTTACAAAACATAGTATAGATTTCCAATTCTTTTTAATCGTGTGCCATAATTATGAAGGATTTCTAAGGTATCATTTCTCCGAAATAAAGAAAAATTTAAAGTGTAATTGGAAAGCCGCAAATATCTTGAGATGGAATTGACCAATTAGTCCAATGTTTTGGTGGATGAAAGAAAAAATACGCCAAAATTCTATTTTTTGGTTTTGGTTGACACTTTTCAGGAAATACGCATATACACTAACTAAAAAACTACTGTTATACATGTTTTTGTATTAATTGCGTTGAATCTGTACGATCTACAAGCAGTTATATTTCCCGATCTGAATTTTGAGTTAGCTCACTTTAGATCTACATAGGTGTGTGATATGTAGTACATATACAGCGGAGCAAAACACGAGCCTTTACCGAGAGTTTTTCTAGGATAATTGTCGCATTTCACTCGCATCCGGTATCATTTGGGAGCATTTGGTCCAGCAAACAGGAAAACAGCAAGCAAGAAGTTTAAAAAAAGACAGCAGTCGCACGCGCTAAAATTTGTTGCCGATTACCGTTACTCCGGCTAATGGAAATCGTCAGATTATATACTTCCGGTTATCCTTGCGCTGTTTGCTTCATAAGAACAAAAATTTTACAGCGCTCGAGAATGTCAAGGTAACGTTGTTTTTTTTGCTTGTTTGCGACCCTCCCAATCCCTTGCATCACGCTCTAATCGTTAGATTATTGAAATGCACACTTTTAAGCATTTAATTAACCCACCATTCCTTAATCTGACGCGCTCGAGTAAATCCCAAAATCCCCTCTTGGACTCCCCTACTACAGCAGATGAAACTGCAGAAACAGTTTTTGAAGACATTAATGAGGAAATACAGATTTATGTGGAAATAGCAGAAAATAAAAGTTGTGACAATGTTTTAAGATTTTGAGAGTGAGCTAAATACATATTTTCCACTACTCGGAAGCATTTCAAGGCAAATTTTAAACATACCAGCTAGCTCAGCAAGTATTGAAAGAGTTTTTTCTGTCTCAAGCAGAATCCTAGAAGAAAGACATAGTCGATTACTTGGTGAAAACCTCTACAAGAAAATATTTTTAAGAAAAAATATGGCCTAATGTAGTTTTAAAATTACATAGAATGAATTTTGATGTGAATTAATTTTTATGAAATTTGTAAAAAAAAATTAATAGTGCTTTTATGCTAGGCAAGGCGTTTGGCCAAGCTTTTGTAGCAATACTGTGCGATTATATGAAATGCTATTTATATAAATAAAGTACCAATGTGAAAATAAATAAATAAATGTCCGTGAAGAAGCGTGCGTGAGCGTGCGTGATTAAAAAACTAGGCGTCATGAGCGTGCGTGAACATGTTTGAAAATAATATAACAGAAGGTGAGTGTGCGTGATTAACAAAAACCATCAACGTGAGCGTGCGTGAACGTGAGCCAAAATAACTCCAGCGACCATCTCTAATTCATACCCATTGAAAAGTTGTTTGATGGAATGTCTTAAATTTAATGTAGCACAAAGTAAATTAGTGCGTTGTGTGCAGACAATACTAATTGCAATTTTGGAGGCGCTAAACTTAGGGGTGAAAACAATGTTTTTGTTTTTTTTTAATGCAGAAAACTAGTGGGAATAATAATACTATTTGACGCACTTAAAGAATATTCCTTAACACGAGATAGGCACAGGTATCCAACTGTATGAAATCGTTTTCTGAGAATCCTTTGTCTGAATTTTGGCAAAGTTTTGTTTTCTGCGAAGCACAGATCTTTCACAAATATATCCTCAAAACTGAATCTGAAGATTATTCTCTGGTGAAGCAGCAGTGAGTTTGTTTAATTTAAAAATAAATTAAATGGAATCAAAATAAAATGGATTTCGATCATCCTGCGTGAAAAAATTGCTTTTAAAATTTGGAAGTCCAAACGTAGATGTAAGTGTTTTTCTGAAAGAACTTTTCAGTTTTTATGCAGCATGTATTACATATCGCCGTACTGAGTTCAAAAATGCCCTATTCCAACTGAAAATATGTATATTAAAAATATGTTTAGAATCGGCAGCTGAGATGGGGCATTTGTGAACCGAATTCTGAAATAGGGTGTTCTTGAAAAGTTTTCTGAGATAGGGCATTTTCGAACTGGCTCCCGAGATAGGTCGATCTTCCAGTCAGTTGTCGATATTTAAATCGGTGGGGTACATATTTTGAACCAATAAGAATTTTCGAATGGGTTGTACTAAGGCAACCTCCGCGGTGGACACAGGTGGAAACTTGTGTTTTGTTTATTAAAGGCAAAAAGAAGTTGTATGTGTAAAAAATTCCATAACTCGTGAAAAAATCGGAACTCGTCGAGACCAGAAGCTATTAGATATTCAAAATCGGTCTGAAATGTTTGTTCGTTTTCAAAACCATAATTTTAATTATGCAAATATATTAAAAATAGTAGAATTTTCTTTATGTCTTCTTGGTTCGAACGCACCAACTGCACGAATTTTCTCAATAATCAATAATTTTTGGTCGGTCAGAAAGCTCAACTCAAAATTGAGACCATTAAAGCATCTGTGCTTACTAAATGTATCTTAGGTTAAAGGTGCTCAGAATCCTACAACTTTTTAAAACATATTGATCTATTGAAAAAAAAAGTACAAAGCAAAATATGTACCTTAAAATTTTTAATTTTTTTAACTAAGAATTTTTTGTACATATATCGTTATGATATGTGTATATCTTTATTGAATTTAATAAAATGCGAAAAATACAGAAGAAAGTTTGTCCTTTATTTTTACTTCAAAAATATGGTCACCGTACCCATACATCATGGTACGGTCTTATGTACACATCGTCACCTGAAATGCAAAGAGACGTAGCTAATATCATCGTTTAAATGCAAAAACTCATAACTGATAAAAAATTCAAAATCCACTTTTTGATTTATACGTCGAATTTCATCGAATTACAACTCCCCTCATAATTTTATGAAGAAAAAGAAAAAACATTAGTCAGGACTTTTTCCATTTCATTTACGATGATGTTACGTCTTTTTGCATTCCAGGTGACGATATATATGTATATGAACTCATGTGTCGGTAGTGTTGTGATGTCACACACCTGAAAATTTATCAACAACAATTTGAACTGCCTCCAACGTACGTGAGAACGTTGCGTGAATATGCGCTCACCTACATAAGTAAATATGTACAAACAATATTCAAATGAATGTCATAATAATGGATGTAATTGCACTTACATATTTACATTGTATTGGGTATGTGAGAGCAAATGAATTTTAATTGTTTTATTATATGCGTGTATTTGTGCTTTTGTGTGGTTAAATTTCATATAAATTTCACTTGCATTGTTATTTCCGCCAAGCAATGGTACCTCCATCGTTGTGTCATCCGCATCAAAGGCATCTAACAAAAGCGATGTTGACGACGATTTTAACCCAGCAGCAATCAGATTCGTCGTCGTCGTCGCTTTTGTTGCTGTTGCTGTTGCTACAGTTGACATGTCTGCTGATGTCGTTGCCTCATTTATGTTATTTGTACTGATGCTGTCGAATGGGCTGTATTCCCAACTGCTGCTCGCACTGCTGCTATTGTTTCGACTATTGTTGTTGCTGCTGCTACTGCCGCTGGTGCTCTTGTTGTGATGGCTGTTGCCGCTTACATGAACATGTCTGTTGTGACGCATCGCTGACCCGTGGTGGTTGCCGTTGCCGTTGTCGTTGCCTGCGCCGCCACTCCCACTCCCACTCACCCGAGTTGTGTTGCTGCTGCTGCTGCCGCTGCTGCTAGACTCACGGCTGCTATCAGTGAAAAGTATAGTTTGCAGGTTCTCAGCGGCAGTTTGAGCGTTTACGTTTGTTGTTGTTGTTGTTGCCGACATAATGCCGCCTTCAACTGTTTCACCGGTATCTTCGACGCCGGCAGCAGTCTGATCGAGCAGTCGCTGATATTTTTTTGACATTATTGCGGGTTTTATTTATACACATATGCTTGTTTGTTTAAATAATTTTTATATTTATGTAGTATACTAGTTACTATATTTGCACTTTGATCGCTACACTGTGAATATGTGATTTTGTGTTGTTGTTGTTGTAGCTGTCCGTTTTATTCACGTATCCAACACACTATGTACTTGTCGCGTGTTAGCTAGTTAAAAATAATATACACAATTGACTTTATTGTTGATTGCGTTTGTTGTTGCTACGGTTAATTTTCAATTTGCTTTTCGCACTTGAGGTGGCGAATTCTAAAAAAAAAAAAACGTATATTACATTTGCATTTCTTTGCTAACTTTAGCGGTAATTTGTGTGTTCTTTTTATGGCAAATAATACTCGCTTAATTGACTACACTGTGGAAAAATATGGCTTTAGATACTACTGTTATATTTGTACAGATATTTTTTAGCACGATTTTAGCACTTCATTCATACATACGTACATATACATACAAATGTATATATACAGATGAGATCAACTAATTAGCAACGAAATTCAAAATGATATTGTTTACAAATTACGTTTATTTATTTACTTTTGGTAATTTTAACTTAAAATATAATTCAATCTATAACAGACCACAGAACCACAATAATAAAGCTTGCACAAATTGCAAACAAAATAAACAAACTTCAAAAATTTTTCCTCAAAATTTCAAAATTTTAAGTTAGAATATTTAAAAAATTTTCGGGTATGCAGTTTTGTAGCCCATTTAATTTTAGACCAATAAATAGAAATATTTTTCATTATTTCTGTTGCTTGAAAAAACACTTTGCTTTTGCTATAAATATTCTTGAAGAAATAAATATACGAATATTTTTTTCTTGAGAGCTGCAAACTCATTTAAGAAATTTTGATAAAAGAAAATTTCTTTTCAATTTCTTCCGTGTCATTTTGTATGAATTTTTCGTTTTTCTTAAGAGCTGGAAACAGCTCTTTATATGGAAGAAAATGCACAACACCCTCAAAAAAAAAAAAAAAAAAAAAATCCATACCATACCGTAAAATTTTTATTGAAAAAAAGGTCGATAGTTTTTATATTTTGAATATAAGTCTTACTAATGGCAAAGTTGAATGTACTTAGTACAGCAGTTACAAAGTTTTTGGTCATAAAATATCGAGTAGTATGTAGAATGGACCTGTCAATAGTAAATATGTTCAGTGAAATTTGGCTCGTGACTGTGAAAAAAGTATAAGAAGTCTAGTTCACGTCTATTACTTTGGATCCGATTAGGTCAAAACAGCAACACTGATAAGAGCTATTGAGCAGCATTTTTTTCTGATGAAAATATTCACAAAGATTAGTATCTCAGTGTACTTTGACTAATCCACAAGAAGCAAGATCCTGCTGTTTGCGGCAATTTCTACGAGTTAGACCTTCTAAGCATTCTATACAAGGTCCTAACGTCGATATTAAGGGACTTATTCCCTTTACGAACTGACTGATTGGTCCTTATATGTATGCCGCCAGACCAGGAAAGCCAAAACAAGTCAAAATTTTTGAGGTGAATGCAAATACACTGTCCCTTATTTGACGAGGTTTTTCAATGGTATATCTGTTTTTGTTTGATCTTTCTAATATTTTGTAAAAATAGCAACAGAAGTAAGCGCAGGAGTTTAGTTGATTAGTGAAGTGAGAGACAAGATTATCACATTTTGCCAAATCTTTTATACGATTTTAAATAAGAAAATTGAACCCCATACACCTTTGTGTCTATTTTAAGGTATTTGGTATCCCTCCTGCAGAACTAATATGCCGCCGATTAGTGACCTTAAGCATAAATTGTCCGGTCTAAATTACGAAGGACATTCTCCTAGCAGTTCGGGTGATTTCTTCAATCCGATGCTGTTAAGCTTAAAACGTGCTGCCTTTCTAAATTAGTATCAATGCAACCGTATACAGCAAAACCACGATGCTGCTGACATTTACATCGGCGCCCTCAAATCCCAGGCTGTCAATTAGTACGTACAGCCTTTTCACAGCTTAGATAAAGAAGCAAACGAGGTTGGCCTAGCGGTGAACGAAAGCAAGGCCAAGTATTTCCCTGGCAACACACAAATAGTCTTCGCGTGGTGTGGCACATGTCACTGTAGGCAGTTAAAATTTGGAAGCAGTGAAGAAATTTATCTACCTAGGATTCAGAAATAACACCAACAATAATGACAGATGGAGATCAAACGAAAAATAAATTTTGTCAACAGGTTTTAATTTGGGTTCGGTAAGTAATTGAAAAACAGAGGAGGCCTCTCGCGTCGCGATGACCAGAAAATCGTGTTCTACAAATATCTTATCATACCAGTGATTTTAAATGGCACATCCACTCAGTCGAACAAAGATAAGAAGGCTTTATGGGCTGTCGAGAGAACTTTTCTACGCCATATAAACATACTTATGGCCCTCTTCGTATTGGTGACGAGTACCCAAGAACATGGAATGATGAACGTACAACAGTACACCGATTGCGCTCTGGTGAAAGGATATCTTGAATCTGCACCCATGGATGGACGATATAGCAAGAGCAGATGTCAACAAATCGTGCACGTAAAACTCTTTTTATAACATACCTAAATAAAGTGTGGATTTTGAGCACAATTTGGTATGACATAAGCCATTCTCATACAGCTTTCTCGCATCCAATTTATGGGTTCTTACCTTCTAATATATTTTTGGATATTGAGCAAAGCTACGGTGTAATTCAGTTAAAAAATAAACTTCAATGCTTATATGTACTTACTAAATATCTTAGTGTATGTATTTATGTACACAGCAATAACAGTTCCATATCTATAATGATTTTACAAACATATTGCAAAAGCGGGGCATAATTTGATTTTAATGAGCCATTAAAACGATAAAAATCGATACTAGTGAGCTCAAGTTGGTATGCTGCGGGGAAGGAGTAAAGAGTTTTTTTTTTGAATAAGTTGATAATATCTGACAAGAGCTTTTGTCCTTCAACCGCAATATTTTTCACTCAAATTGTAAGAAAAACATTTGTTAAAATCAATTAATAAGCTGCCTGCACATTACCGGGCTTAGGGCTGGTTGTTCAATGTCTGGTTAACACAAATCGAAGGTAGAAGCTCCGGTTAAATCGATAATGAGGTAGTGATAACCAGACATTGAACAACCGGCCCTTTGTGATGGCAGGCATCGCATGTGAGGATCTCATATGTGGCTGCTCGGATAATTCCTACGATAGTAACCTTATGGCATAACCCGAGTAATTGAAAAGCAATAAAGGATAAACAGATATCCATTTGGACATTTCATGATATATTAGGTGCTATTGATAGTACATTGCACCAAGCAGTATCCATGGGCACGACAAGGAAGGGCATTTCTAAACTCAAAACCGACTGCGTCAGAAGCATGCTGAGCTCCAGACTCGTAAAAGTCGAAATAGAAGGTAGTAGACAAACGGTAACGGCCACTCGTGGCTGCCCTCCGGGGCGATACTCTCCCTTCTATTGTGGACAGTGGTTATGGACGAACTTTTAGACATAAAGGAAATGGCTTTAATGCATATAAATATGCTGTCGACCTTGTTATCTACGTGGTAGGCTGAGATGAGAAGACCGTGTGCAGCCTGCTCTAAGCGCAACCATAGAATAGTGTGGTGAATAGGGCAGTGAAGTCAACCCATTTAACAAAAGAAGGGTGTCGCCTTGACCAAACGAAAATAGAGTGCGACAGAGAATGGTTTCTCACAAGAGGCGAAATATCTAGGCGATATACTCGATAAGGTATTCAATCAGAACTAGCATCTCATAGCTGTTACCAATAAAGCCACGAGAGCTTTGTATGCTTGTCAACTAATGTCCTGGTCAGTCAGTACAGTGATAAATCGATTGTCACCTATGCAACACTGGCCAGGTGGCCAAAAACCAAACAAGCCACCTCCAACGCCACTCCGCCGGCCAAGCGGGGACCATGTGAGCGTACGCTTGGAGTCATCACAGGCATACCGCCTCTAGCTACAGTTATAGAGAAAGAGGCTTGGTGGAGAGCCCTGAGGCTACCGAACCTAAGATGCTGAAAAGTGTGGATTCATGATTTCCAATTAATCGAATAAATGAGTTATTTACTTTATGATTAATTAAAATGTTGAATAATCAATTGATCGTACAGTCCTAGAATATCCAAATCTACTGTACCCTGTTTGGCTGGCAGTTTGAATCAACTCATGCAGAGGTCTAATGCCTACCCACATTCATACATATAGTATTTATGTACATAGTATATGAATTTCACAGCATACAGTTTATTACTAGTTTAAAAATAAAATGCGTGAATTTTCATCAAGGTCAGTCAAAAATTACTAAGAGTTATTAAACCACTTATGTAACTCTGCCTATACACTGCACTACATCTCTTTAGAACCTTTCGGCCATATTTGGTCAATATTATTTTTGTTTACAATGCTTACGAAATGAATAGTGCAAAAATATTTTGATTATTTTTTACCAATTAGAAAGGGGTAAGTAAAAGCGTTTGCCAGGAAGCCCGAAAAAGTAAATTTCGCAGAAAAAGTGGAGCGATATGTTTAATTTTTGCACCTCTGTGTAATCGATGACAATGAAATACGAAAGAGTAATTAATGCGCTAGGGGGTGCTGGTGTCGAGATATTTGGAATATTCGTATTTATGGTCCGATTTGTTTCATATTTAGAACGTATACTACTTAAATACAGAGAAAAAACTCCACAAAAAATTAGCCGTTAGGCGGTGCGGTTCTCGATTTTTCTTTTTAACCGACTTCCAAAAAAGGAGGAGGTTATCAGTTCGTCGGAATATTTTTTTTTATATTTGTAGCGAGTTTTTCTTTAATTTTTATACGTATATATTTGCATTCCACATTTCATTTGTTTCATTTTCACATACACCTGTGTTTTTTGACCTTTTTGCTTATTACATAAATATTAAAATTTGTTTATTTTCCATTTATATTACATTGCATTTATTATTTGTCATTCAACTCACACTCTGCACGCACAAAAATCAGTAAAACAAATAAATAAACAAATAAACTAAACAACAACAAATAACAAATGTCACTTCTTCCGGCACTGATGTTCACTTTTCTTTATTTTTCCGATATAGCAACCACTCATTTTCAATCCCGTTTATTCACCATACGAATTACGCATTCAAAGTTCCGTTAGCGACGGGCAATCGATCGCACCGCTACGTTGCTTTGTGTGTACTGAGTGAGCAAATGGGCGGATTGGGCGCTCAACGATCACCGCAAGCCTTGCGTATTGCATTGTTGTCATTGTTAGTGTAGCGGCGATAAGCTGCATCACTCCACAATTCACCCAAACGCCCATAACTATTTTCGCTAGCAAGCAATTTACGCTCATCCATATGCACTCTTTAACACTCACTCGCTCTCACAGTACCAG